GTTCTCTGCCAACACAGCTGTACGTTCTCACTCCCTTTGGTTATAATTGGTTCATCTACCTTTTCTAATTTAACTCACTCAAGTTTGTTGCACACAGCAATGGCAAGACTAGAAATCATTTTTTTTTTTTAAGGTCCCCTCTGACTAGATGTAATCAACTACTAGCTTTGCACAACTGAGGTGCTCAGACGAGACACATACCAATCAATGTGCAGCTAACTGACTGTCTTTCAAAGGTTACTTATTCATTTCTGATAGTTTAGCAGCTGGGATGGCCTATGAAACTACTACCCTCCATTGCTTGCAACATCAGAGCTCTGCAGAATAATAATCCTTGGTTTCTCTACAATGGTCAAGACAACATTCATTCAAAATTTAAGTGCCATCTTGGGAAAGGTCTATCCACAACTTACTCTGTACATGCTATGTATGGCACTATGATTGGGTGTGCGATATTTGCCTTCTGAAACTGAGACGGAAGATAGGAAACTTGTCAAACGTCAACATGTATAATTACTGAGTTAATGTCCACAGAAGGAAGTAGTTCACCTCCTTTACAAGCCATTAACACCGCCAGCTTTAGTTCAAACTTAAAACACTCCTGGATTTAAGGCTTACCTTCAGTTTTTAATACCTGCCACCTGCCCCCTGTAGGAAGGGGGGTTGAAACTAGATGACCTTTAAGGTCCTTTCCAACGCAAGCCATTCTATGATTTTATGATTCATACACAGGAGAGCAAATTAAGTTTCATCTCTGAAGAAAGTTCATCAGTCCCTAGACCCATTTCACCTTGCATGTTTTGATTTGCCCACATCTCAGTCAGGTTACCTTACGATTTTGTCCACTTGCCCTCAGCAATCTTATCAGAGCAAACAAACATGCTGGGTCCTGAATACACCAACAGTGCTAAGAGAATTCCCGTTGCACAGGAAATATCACTGGCTCTTACGTAAATGGCAGAAAGGAGCTGACTGGATTCCCAGTCCTAGTGAGACTGTAATGGTAAAAAAATCTAGCTTTCAACTCAAACCGAACCATTGACGCTGAAAAATTCACCGCGACAGGTTAAGTACTTAATATCATAAATCCCAACAATGTCTCATTTACCAGGGCAAGCACCAAGCTTTTTTTCCCTACAGTCAATTTAAATAACCCAAATACCACATGAACAGCAAGAATTAAGTGGCTCTATACTACAAGTTTCCAGAACTCTGTTCCAGGAACCAGTTTGTCATCTTTGTGTATATGGTTTATTGTGTCTTTTTACTATTATTGTTTAAAATAGCCCCTTTATCTACAAAACTATCAGAAGTTCATTTCATTTTTGTGGCTGAACAAAGAGCAGCATCCACTGAACTGCTGACAAGCATCGGCAACACTTGCTTGTTAACAATTTCAACCATAGTGACTTGAATTGTAAAACTAGCTCCAAAAAATTGCTGTTGCAGAAAGAAGCCTTCTACATCTCTCCTGCTCACTTTGGTCTACTATATATCAAAGTCAAATGTGATGATATGCAAGATATCCATGTACATTGTCACTGGAGTTCTGAAGACACTGTGTGCTCAAGATTTTCACCACTCTTGAGGACAACTGTTCATTTGAAGAAATTCTCAGTGATCACAAATCCAGCATATTTTTTTTTAAAGACCATATGATGGTCTTCTAGTGCAAGACAAGTAATACAGAGTAAAATAGGCCAGACATACAGCATTGAGCTAATAACAGAGGAGTGTCAGAAGCAGTACTGGAAGCACCACTACAAAGAATCCGTAACATGGCTCTGCCACTACTTTGGCTGTTGGGAGTGTTTTTTTGCAGTCTGTATAAAGAAGCCAGTAATATATTTGTATTCATATATAAACATATTCCCATAACTGACTTCAGAGAGACTGAGACTTACTAGTCACTTACATGCATAAACAGAACAGAGAATGAAGAGACTAGCTAGAACAGAAATCAAGACACAAGAAACTACTGTCCCAACTCAGGCAGCACATTTGCATGCCATCCATCTTATGCTCTCTGTAAGCAGCCAATTCAGCTTTTCATAGCATCTGTATTTTGTCTTTGCTGCCTCCTATTAATATCCTATTTAGTCACTGGCAGCCTGCTGGAAAGATCTGAAAGGAGATTTTAACTTTTTTTTAGTTATATGAAGCTTTAGTAACTAAAACGCCTTATATTGCAAGTTTGGAGCCTCCTGATGTTTCACTAGATTTAGAAATAACCTGAAGTATAAGAGAAGAGAATTAACTTATTCTTGCAAAATAATAGACAAAACCCCTTTAATCCTGAAAAACTAATTGCTTCCTACTACTTATTCCTCAGCCACAGACCATCTCAATCTGACATCACAATTTCCACAAAGGTTTGATGCCATGGAGGACAGCAGCTTTTACAAACAGTGTTGTGGTGAACAGAAATAGGCAAAGAAGCCACAAAGGCTCTTTTCAAGAAAGCATTCTTGAAGCCATTAAAAGATTTAGCTGTGGCCCAAAAAAATTGGGGGAGCTAGCTGTCTACTGTTCTGATTCCAGCTCCAACTCCTGTGCCCTTGTAAAACCATTGCCTTACCTCGGTTTTCCTTCATCCGTTAGTTCAGCTCGACTAATTTAAAAGCAGTGAAACTTTTGTAATACACAGTCAATTCAGAGGTGCCTATTGGTGGACCCAGTTTAACACTATTTCTCTACTTGTCTTCCACAGTTAACAACTCTTACCAGCACCACTCTACTCCACATTTACTCATAGTCAGACCAACTGCAGGCAGTGCTCTTCCAGAGCCCCACCTGTAATGCCACCAAATCCAAACAGAAGTTTTTCAACCGAAGTCCTTAAACAAAGAAAAAAACTTTGTCATGCTATCACTAAGCAGTTGATCAATTAATCCAACTGAACTTATGCCAACTTTATCCACAGAAAACACCTACAAAGTAATATGATCTCTAAAGCTTTAAGGCAAGTTAAAAGAAAGCATGACTGGGTAACAGCACTGTGCAGAAAATGAACAGAGAGGCACTTTCATGCAGGGATCATCCTATGAGGTGTTTATCCTAGCTGAAGGCTGACTTAGATGTTTAGAAAACCAGTAACACTTTCACGAGACATGTAGCTGAGAAATCCTGAGTATGAGCAGGAGCAGACAGGACTTTGGCTATCCAGCTGTTACATCCAGCACTTCCGAAAAGCACTACAGTTCATATAGAAATCAGATGTACAGAGGCTTCTTTGAAATGACACAGCTTTGAAACACCAAGGTCACTTTTCTCCTCTACAGAAAGAGTGGACAGGGATTCTGGTACTCTTTAGCACCAAATTAGCAGGATGTAGCCTGACATGCATTTTAAGCAACAGGACAACACAAAAGGCCTGTTGAGTTTAAGATTATTTTTTTGCCAAATTGGTTCCTGATCTGGTTCACCTTTCAGCTCAGATTAATTTTGCTGGCGTAATGTCAGGAGAACAGTCTGGAGTAGAAGTAGCTTCCATTCTCCTGGCTTGAATGAACACCACACTGCAGCCTCAAAAATGCCTTAGTTTGAATACTGAAAACAGAAATCAGTTACACATTCCTTGCTTCCCACTTCATTAAGCAAAAGAGATACTGGAAGAAACCCAAAACAAGCAACGCCTGAGCAGACCACAGACTGTTGGAAAATCAGCTAGAAGGAACTCAGTCACTTTTAAAATGTCGGCAAGACCCAACCCTTTTGCACCACTTTTCATGCAGTTTGAAGCTTGGTTGATATCTGTTCTTGAGAGTAGCACAGGGAACAACTCTTGCTTGGTACAGGTATCTCACACGGACCACTCGGAAGCACTCCGTGCTAGCACAGATACAGGCTGCTGCCTGGCTGTGCTCGCTTCAGTGATGACCTCTCTATCGAGGAACCACCAACACCAATTACTGGCACTCTGTTCTCAGACAATGTAAACAAACCAAATGAAACATGTTATAACAGAAAAATTTTTATGTCATTTCTCCAGCAAGCTTTTTCACTGTAGGAGTTCTGTCAGGTTATTTGTGACCCATGTTCAAAAGCAAATACAGTCCTTCAGTATACACCACCACCTCGTGGCCGCCAGATGCCTGAAACTCCCATAAGTGAATATAGCCTGTAGTCTTAATTCTAAGAGCCTCTGAACTGAGCACTACTGACAGATCCTCAGCAAACACCACCGTCATTCTGTGTGAGCTGCTCACAACTTTTTAATTACCTGTGAAGAGGTAAAAGTATCCTACATGAAAGTGCCGTACCATTTCAGCTTCAAGACAGCTTACAGAAGTGCAAGCCATTTACTTCATGCTATAACTGAAGGAAGCTGCTATCTACTACACAAATGAGAGATGAGAATTTGTATTTTTGACTTTGAATGCATCAAGGCTAGTACAGATTCCTGCTTTCTTATTTTCATAATGAAAAAGAAAACCAACACAATAAAGATCAATATGCTAAATTTCTTCTCCTGGTACAGAAAGTCTACTGATCTTGAAAACTGCCTCTAGCTCATCAAGTACAAAGGGATTTCAGAAACATTCCCATATTTACTTCAACTGAGGTGCAAACATCAAATTATACTAGAGATTAAAATCAAAAGCATTTCCCCTGCAGTAACAAACACACAAGACTGTAAAAGATACACAACAAAATACTCTGAAAGCAATATAAAAAGTGGGGCAAATAACAAAGGACGGACAACGGAGAAGATAAAGAAAGCAGCTGAAAAGCTGGATACAGAACAAAAATCAATACAATACAATACCATGTCTTAGATAAGACTAAGATGACTTACCTCTAGCTGGACATTCCTTATGCTGTTAAGAGGCTGATTTGCCAAGTAGGATAGTAAACTGGTTTATTGCTCCAAAAATTCCAAGTCTACATGTACTAACAGATAATTATAAATGTGTCCACTGAATGAGTTATCTGCCAAAGTGATAGAGAGGTTCTCTTTGGCTTTCCCCTTCCACATGCTTACTGTTAGAAAGACTCACCAACAGTTGTACCATCTTCACCCATAATGCACTTCATGGAGGTGATGATTTGCTCCACAACAGGAGGTGACAGTGATGTTGCATACACAGCACTGTGAGAATATGTCCTGAGGTAATCAATCAGTTCCTAGCAAAACAGAAGAGCCATCAGACATTGCCTTTGCAGCACTCTGAGAAATGATTTATTGTCACATCTTAATCACACAATAAAATGGGGCACCACAAAAAACCTCTTTCATAATGTCCTGGAAGAGAACAGGTAGCTCAAGGATTGACTTTATAGTACAAGTAATATACAGTTGAAGAGTGAACTGCAGGGACATGACAACCCATAATTATGTCACTGGGCAAGAACATGTGTTGATCAAAGATAAATGCCTGACAGCCTTGTTTAGCTAACACCACCAGCATTGGATTGCAACAAGGTGTTTTGCATTACTCGAGCTGTCTGCAGGCCATGTTCCAAGAGTGTTTATTATAACAGTGGGAGTATAAAACAAATGCAGCAGTGGGGAGAAGGATCCATAGGTGCTTACATATAATGCTCAATGTAATTGCTTCCCCACAAAAGTCACCAAACAGTGGAATAGGTCACAAAATATTTTCCCCCATTTATCAGCACAATATAAATAAATCAGCAGGTGTAATCTAAGAGTGCAAGAACCTCAGCTTACCCCTCCTGCATTTCCCAGTTAAACACACCTACTGTATTTGTTAGAGGGCAAAAGCAGGTCATACAGAAACAAAGGACCAACATACCACAGATGTAGGCTGCTTGTTGTTAACTGTAACAAAACCACTCTAAAATACCCAGACCACTCCAGCAAAATATAAAGCCTAGTATAAATCTCAGTACAGATTCTGTCTTCTACTACCATAAAATTAATAACAATGGCCCTGTAGATGGCACAAGCTGGGAACATATTATAGAAATATGTGGAAGTGTTCAATTGTATGTTGCTGTCCGCCTGGTATCAGAGTTAAATGAAAGGAAGTTGTCAAGGGACTTTGAAATAAACTAGGTAAGAAGATTTAAGGCCTCTTACCTCTGAAACAATCCATCAAACAGTAACTAAAACACAGTTGTGAAGGACTCTCAGACGCTTTACCTTACACCAAGGGAGTCAATCCCACTAGCTCACTACTTTTGGAAAGAGATGGATATGGTGCCATGGATATGGGGAAGATGCCAAAATAATTTTAATCCAACTGCAGTAAACTCCCAAAAAGGAGCATCTACAAATCACATCTTCATTTGGATGGACTGAAATAATTGTCATTACTAGTATCTAAAGAATTATTGTCCTGGGAGGAAAATGGTAAAATTTTACTCTCAAATAAAGTGTAGAAGCCTGATCTGTGAGATACATTTGAGGATAAAAGAAAAGGGACACATGCAATTGTCATCCTTCCCAAAAGGAGGGATTTGGCAAAGGCAATACTTTCTAGCAGTACTTTCTGACAGAAGAGTCAGTAGCCAAAAAAAAAACCCAAAAAACAAACCACACCCAAAAAAACCAAAAAGGGAGGTGTCTTTTTAGAAAGCAAAATGGTCTGAAAAACTTCAGCTTTTGGCATTTTTCCTGCAAATCTCATTAAAAGTAACATTAAAGAAATTGCTGCTTCCTGGCTCCTACCAGTTCCTAAAGAGATATTAAACCACCCCTGTACATTCTGTAAAATAAGATCATTGCTGATCATGTAAGAACTATACAATTATGAAGTATTTTACTAGACTAGACTCTTCTGCATTGCAGACTTTCAATGTACTAGGTAGTATATAAAATTATGAAAGTGGACAATCAGGATACTTGAGAAACTTATCAACTTTGAAATGCTTAGTGAAGGACTCCGCCACCAGCCTGAAACAGCCATGAGATTTCCAGCTTTTTACCTTCTTTCCCCCAATGTATCCTCCAGCAGCTCCAAAGCTTTTGGTGAATGTTCCCATCATAACATCCACATCTTCAGGATTGAGTCCAAAATACTCCACTACACCCCGGCCACTGGGACCCAGGGCACCTATACTATGAGCCTCATCAAGGTACAGATAGGATTTGTACTTCTTCTTAAGGGCAATCACTTCAGGCAAACGGACTATGGATCCCTCCATACTGTTGAGAAACAGAAATTTAGTGTAAGTTGATTTAATGGTTGGGGCCTTCATACAGACCCTGAAGTCACTAAGCTTTTCTTTTCTTCACTCTTTCAGTAATTATGAACACATAAAATTTGCTAGACACATCGTATTCTGCAGAGAGATGAAAGAACTCCTCCCTTCACCTGGGGCCCAGATCTCTACTTTCTACATGTTTAACATCTCCGGGATGCTGACGTACAGACTAAATAGCAGCAGCAACAGTAAGTTAAGTGTGACCAGTGAAAATTCTATAAATTAATTATCTTTTTTTTACTTCCACCCTAATGTCAGTATTCTGATCTGACATCTACTTACCTGTTGTTTTTAAGTTTTAAGAACTGACTAGGCTCCCATTAATAGCACTCCAAAACCACCCCATTTTATGCTGAAAGTAACTATGATTTAAATGCCTAACACAGCTAACCCTACTACATGCTCCTATTCACTCTCAGCAAAAATGTTCAATTTGCACAATTCCATTCACACTAGCGTCATCTAGTGAGCTCAGAAAGAATGGGATGGACAAGCAATTTAAGACCTCAGCTCTGATGTAAATAAACAGTTTAGACTAATTAATTTCTACAGTCTAATCAGGATGTGGGGAAACTGTGGTAACATCAGGTGCATCTACAGTACTAGCAACAGAAAGTCCAGGATGCGAGACACACACATCTCAGTTTAATTCGCAGATGAGATTAATGATATAACTGCAAAGTGACAATATTCATAGTTTGATTTGTCAAAGGAACCCAAACACTAAGCAGCTAGATCTTATGTGGAGGGTCTTAGGAATATAAAGAATAGTTTGTACCTGTATACTCCTTCCACCAAGATAAGAATTTTTTTCCAGGGCCTCCGTGTACGAGGTTGCCCATGCACAATAGCATCTTTGAGCAGCTTCTCCAGGCTTTGCATATCTGCACCAGAAATTACTGTTAAATGGCACCACAACAGCTACTAGCTTGAGCTTTGACATGACTAAAGACAGCAATACTCCAGAAACGCACAAATTGCTCTAGCGTGGAGGACAGACCATACAGAAGTCAATAAACATGACCTTCATCTAGCTGCAGGCCCACATATGAGATTCAAGGGAATGGGTGACTCTGAGGGAACTCTCAGGAAAAATTTCATCATTCTAAGCTAAAAGCACAAGTTAGAGCATTAGGCACAAACAGCAAACAAGGAAGAAAGAAAAAAAAAAAAGGAAGGTATCTCATTGTGAGGAAAAGAGAAAGCAATTTAGGGAGTAAGCATGTCCTTGTGGATCGAAATAAGTCAAAAAAACCCAAGCAAGCTCAAGGATAATCAACTAAAGGTAAGTAGAAGATAGACCAAACTGCAGGACAAGAAGGGGAACAAGTGCATATTTTATGACTTTTTTAAAAATTGAAGGAACTGGAGATATGGAACAGGAAGCTACTAAACCAAAAACAGGAAAGGAAGAAAAAAGAACCACCAGTGTAGGAAAGAGGACAGTGCTCAGCATATAAGAAACTAGACAGATGCAGCTGTTCGCAGCAATGTATTCTGAAACCTTATTAGCTTTGGCTACAAACACTTGACATGATCCTAGGAGACCTGACTAATGTTAGCAAATAAAAACACATTAAATCCGTCCTGAAAAAAAAAACAACAAACCTGATGAAAGGATTGGAGATGGGAGTAATCAAACCATAAAAGCTAAAGTGCTGAGTGAGAGACAGATATTCATTAGGGCATGAAAAAGAGCACAATCATGAAAAGACAACTCGAAGACGAGGGCAGTTGTAGCAGCGAGAGGAGCTTGTGAACTAGAACGAGACTAGAAATTATACAGCAAGATAAGTCAGTTAGACTGGTACGAAACAGCTAACTGTACAGAAAGACAAAGAGGAAGAAGTCAGAAGTGGTGTCCCTGCCTCCAACAAATCTCTCAAAGGACAAATTTAGTGCAGTTAGGGTAAACAATGGAATATAAACTTCTGCTCTGACCTCCCAAGAAAGAGGGAAAGACTGGGAACTAGGTCTGACCTTAATAAAAAGGATGAACTGCAGAATGAGGTAGGAAAAAAATGAGAACATTGAATAAGGATTAAGGGAGATTTTTAATTTTTTTCCATAATTTCTACAAAACAGAATATGAGTGAAGCCATTAACATCACAGGAAAATGAAGTTAACTAAGGCAGCATGGAGTATAACAAGAGCAGAACTGACAACACATAACTATGAATTTAACATCATCTTGACAGGCCGTGATCATTGCTTGCGTTTGGCCTTCTCATTCTAATGTGCCACTCCATTCTCTTTCACAGATCCTCACTGTCTATAAGATTTGTAGAATATCCTCCAGTCTCACCAATCTGCTAGCTTGTACCACTTTCCCACAGATCATCTGCTCTTCCTCATCACACCAGAGTTTCTAAGTCCTTCTCCTCATACCCATAACTGTTTATCACTAGTGTTCTCTGAAATTCTGGAACTGCAAGCAATGTTCAGATGTATGTCTATACAAATGCAAAAGTTGAATGCAAAGCTTTTGTGATCTTGCCCAGAAATCAAGTTTTATGAAGTATTAAGGAAAAAAAAAAATCACTGAATATTACAGTAAGTTCCACACTCCTGTAAAGAAAATTATTCAAATGATAGAGAACACGAAAGAGAGAACACAAAAGAAACAACAAGCACAGTACAATATAAAATTATTATACTGTGAAAGTAATTACAGCCACCAAAGCTTTGCTGCCACCACCACACACTTCAGAGAGCAAAAGAGTCATCATGATCTCCGAGACTGATACTATAAAGAGTATTAAGAACAGCTGAAGAATGAAGGTAGTGGCTTTACTAATCAAGTACAACCAGGTACCTCTCTCACTCAGAATATGAGAAGGAAACCCTAAGTATTCTTAATCTGAAAGTTATTCTAAAAACCTCCTTTGGAGGAAGCTGAAACTAGGAAAGTGAAAATTCTATGTATTTTGGAAACAAACACTTAAAGCAAGTAACTCAGTTAAATTCTTCTATGCTTCACATCCCAAAGATTCCTTTTGTACCACATTGTATCAATGCATGGCTGTCTAGCTTAGCTAGGACATAGGCACTCAAGCTTTTGTTACTGTCAGCATCTGGTCCTAAAATTTAACTTTCTTATTCCCCAAATTGTAATCTAGACCAGTACAAGATTGCATTACTATGTGACACAGCCTGTTAGAATAGTCTAACCATGCTGAGCTATCCAAGCAACGAGAAGCAATGTTAAAATACTAGCGCCCCTAGACTTTCCAAATGGCAGCATGCTCCTCTTATATGCAGAATATGTAAACCAGAACAGCTCTGGGATGAAAATGTTATTAGTTGAGATTGAACATATCAAAAAATATCCAATTCAGGATGACTAAATTCTCAGTAGCAGCAGTCCTCCGACCTTTCAGGTAACCAGCAATTTATTTCCTTGCATGAAATTGAATTTCCAACTATTAGAAAACAGACGAGATTGTATCTGATCTATAGGATCTGCAGAAAGGCAGTCCACCGTCTGATACTTACTGTTGTGCTTAAAGATTCGAATAGTTGCTCCTGACAGTCTTGCTCCAAGCACTAGTGATGCATGATTCAGTTCATCACTCAAAATCAGACAGCCCTGAATTAGAAGGGGAGAGAGGAAGATATTTAAAAGGTTATGTTTCACAGCCAAGCATATAACACCTTTCAGCTCTGAACTGCTTAGAGATAATTTAAAAAACAAAAATTCCAACATAAATGCAACTAGTCCAGGCAGGACTTGCTAAGAAACAATTTTCAGCCTTATTATGGCAAATAAAAATACACAACTGCTGCTAACTGAAAAAAACACTTATGTTTCACTTTCCCCAGAAGTCCTGCAGCTCAATCTGTCTGATTATGTCACGTTAACGATTAGTACTCATCCTCCTACGCAGCCAGGTAAAACAGAGAGCAGAGCAGCTTGCCACAGTTCACTCAGAAGTCTACGGTGGTGCTACATTAAAGACCTTATCACAAAGTTGCACTATTCCTTACATTAGGAGGTAACTACCGACTAAACCCGTGTGTGCTCAGTGGTTCCAAAGGGACTAATTTTCTTTAGCAAATAGAACTATTAAGTACTTTGTAGATGAAGGTAACATACAAGAGACAGGAAGCGGAACACAAAATTGCAGAGCGAAATTGAGAAGTTCTCAATTCAAGCCACTGAATGTTACATTGAATTTGTTTGCTTTTTCAAAAAAGAGAAGATACATCCTTGGACAAATATCAAAACAGGATATGTTTGTTTTGAGAGCAGCAATGATTACAGGTCAATAGCTGATACGCTGAACATTCCGTCACAGTGTTATTGCTGTGGACTCCAGGAATGCATATTGGGAGATTAGTTTGTAAGAGAGCAATAATATTTCTAGATAACCTTGGCCCACTCCAACTACTATGCAAATCTGCTGCAATTCTAGAAGTGTCTTTGTTAAGTTAAAAATCCAGAAAACATGTCAAGATGTTGAAGATTTGACACTAAACACATGCTCATTCTATGTTTCTCTAACAACTGGTGGAGTGAAGAGTCAAGAAAATATCTTGTCTGCAATGAGAGTTACGAGAAGGGACTGTGAAAAGCATTGCCTACGGTTATACAAAGAGGTGTTGCAGGCAATAGGAGTATTTTCTCGACAATAAAGGAAATTTTGAACTAGAATTGCAATGTACCTAGAAATATTCTGCATCCTGGGAAAGTTCGAGACTGTTTTCCCAGAAACTGCACTAAATCTCAAGTGTTCAAACTGCTGTTACAAGGATTCACACTGCATATTTTACTGACTTTGGCATAAGAAGCATCGAAATCTCCAACTAGCATTTGCTCTTTGTAACTGCTACACCAGACAAGGTCTACGCATACTATGTCAAAGGGCGTTGCTATTAAACACTGCTGTATCAAAACCTAAATATAATAGTCCAGCACTAGTATCCTTAAGTGTTAGGAAGCAGGAAAAGTGATAGATTAAAAGAAAAAGAAGAGATTAATAGTCCAGAAGGAGCTTCTCCATGAAAACAAGTATGAGTTTTGGTAGAGAAAGAAGATTCAACAAATTGATGAGCAGCGTCATCTCACCCCCCTGTAAACAGAAGAGGACATTCAATTGGACAAAATAAATTAATTTAAAACTGGAGAGAAAGAAAAGAGGCTAGTATTGTCTGCCACTAGAGAGAGGGCAAAGGATCAAAGATGCCACTGGTACAGTGTAGCAATCACTGATGATAATATCATTTAAGCAGCACTCAGTTTCAGATAAGACTTCACTTGCATTTATCAGCAAACTTACATTTGTGAGAGTACCCAGGAGAAGACTAACACTAACTGGAGAGCACGATACTGGTATCAGGAAAAACATGTCAGTGAAGATCAGACTTACCAATGCATCCTACAAGGCAGACACGGAAACCGAAATGAACACTACATTTTACCCCAAAGTGCTCCATACATGAACTGCGTAATTCAGTTCTGAACACTTCATTTCACAAACTAACTCTACATGAAAACTAATTTGTTTTCTTACAACCAAAAAAAGATCCCTCAACCACCATTGCTCTAACTCCATTATCTAGCTTCTGTCAGTCCAGAGCTATGATTAAAAGCTCTTTGCTAAAGGCAGGACAGAACACTGTTATTAGCTAGTTACAGTAACTATATTAATGACACACCAAACAGGCAAGTTTCAGAGCCCAGCTTACCCTCAAATGGTTCTGACTATGCAATCCTCAAATCTCACGTTACCTGTGGCCTAGACTCAGCGTACTTGGCAGTGACTGTATTAGGCAGCCAACAACTTGGCTGTCAGCAGCAGGTCTCTCCTGATGAAAACTGCCAGGTGCAGAAAGACCTGTTTTGAGTGATGCTTCAACAGAGCTGAAATACAACTTTCAGTGTAAACCAACTGTACCTGCTTTCAGCATCTGCTTAGTAGAAGCTACTGTTAACACAGCAGAGGGAATAAGGATCAACTAGGTAATGCTGATGAAGTTTTTAAATTCCTTTTGCTGATCAATGCTGACCAGATTATGGGGTAGAGTTGGATCCTAGGATAGTCAAATTGTATCTGTTACTATTAAAAGAAGATTCAGTAGCCACATACACCAAGTGCTTAAGGATTCCACAAAGCAAAAACAGAACAGGTGGTCTGGTATTACATATATGTAACTTCATTGCAGTGGTTTGTGTTTTAAGCTAATTAAATTGCAATATAGGTGCCCAGATATGATTTAAATAATGATCAGCTCCAAATTGTATCAGTAACTGCCAAAAAAACTCCTTCCGGCCACATGGAGATGTCAGTACTGATTATATTTGCCAAACCTCCAAAAATTAATGTTCCAAGCAGCTTTGCACCTGAAAATTTATGTAGGACATGCAGAGAAACAAAATCAGTAGTGAAAAAATGAAAGCCCAAGAGCTTAATCAAGCATGGGAATCTCTGGACTTTACTGAGGACTCTATCAAAGCATTGCCAAACAGGCTGCGCACACACAGCCAACTGTGTACTGGGTGGTGCCAGAATTCAGGATTTATGTGAGTCCTTATTTGTAGACAATGAAGAAATCAAAAGTGCAGTGAAAAGCAACTTCAGCAAGCCAAAAAAAACCCCACTTAGTGAATGTTTTGAACTGCAAAATAGTTCATTCAACAAGAAATCTTTTCTTTAGAAGAGAGCATTTTCTGTTTGAAGTATCACCTGATATAAGGTCACTTCTAGTGTTATGAGGCAGAAGCTTCTTACTACTTTAATTAAAGTGCATAAAAACTAAGTATGCTCATTACTAACACAGCAAGACTGCTGTATCCATTTATGAAAAGAGTTGGTTTCATAAATGTGCAAGTTATGTGCATAAAAATAGGTATGTTACATGCCGTGGAATTTACTGTTCAGATTCTCTCAATTGTCGTAAAACCTGTTCAAGTTCAAATGTGAAAATTAAGGAGCCGAGCAAGGTGTATCAAGGATATTCTCACAAGCTATTAAAGATATACAGTGGGATTCACATACACAGAAAAAAAAGACAGTAACTTTGCAGTAATGGGCGATTTGTACTGACTTACAGCAGACAGAAATCTATTTAACTTTATCTGACCGTGTGTGTTCTGAATTCAAAAGGTCTCACAAATCATGAATAATTTTTCTGTTGAAGAGAAAATTGTGTAGATGTGGGAAGACAACGAGCAGAAAAATGCAAGTAAAAGATATGTGAGGACTAACACATGTTCAAAATCACGGCACTGCAGAGGTATCTGACTCCAGAAAGACTAGATTCAAAGCACTGAATTTCTCTCTGGCATCAGACTCAAAAACATCTTTCATTATGGAAATCATCTGATATTTAAAACTTAACAGACCAAAAGAAAAGGGGCGTTATGTAGACAGTGCTGCTTCATTGTTACAAATAAGATAGCATGCAGGAAGACACTACAGTTCGTCAAGAAGAGATTCACCAGGAAGAAAGGTTGTTGGGAAGAACATGGCAGCAATTTATCTGTAGATATCACAAGTGAAAGAATTTACAAAGTGATCTCAGGAAGTGGGAAAATAAATAAATAAAGGGGAAATAATTAATTACACAAGGACAAAGAAATCCAATAGTCTAGTAGTATTAGGCTAACAGTGAATCATTTTCAAAAAGAGGAAACAGTTCCAGTATTTGCACTAAGTAGGAACCAGGAAAACATACATTTTGCATCAGAAAATGCAAAGAGCTCCCTTACATTTCATCTTCCAATAACTAAAAAAACCATAGTTTGGGATGCAGGACACTCAGGCTGCATTGCATACTGTTTTATGTGACACACAGTAGACATTAGTCTTTACATTTGACCTTGTTTCTCTCTAATAGCTTTCTACTAGGATTTTGCTCCTACAAAGGAAGGATTTTTCAGCTGTCACTCAAAGATAATAAATTCTATACATACCAACATGCAATTCAGCTTATCTGTGTGTCTCACTGACAAGGTCACTTCTTAGTGTCTCAAGAGCATCAAAATACCTACAGCCAATCAGTCTGTCAATCAGCCATCAGTTCATACACGAAAGAGTGGCCTGAGGAAGCAAGCCTTAACATGCCAGGCTCCCTCCCAGAAAGAGTGCAAGATCTGGACTGCCACTACCTGTCGTATGGATGCTCTTTGCCAAAAAGACTGTTGCAAAGGTTAGAGATGCATACTATCAACTACAGTTTCCAGAGAGAATATCTGCAGGGGTTGCCACTGAAGAAAAACAAAACCAAACAAGGAGCTTTTAGAAAACCCAACCAGCAGAAACTCTGTTAGATGAGCTTTTGCCAGTGACTTACGCCATACCTTGCTGAATGTTCATAGAGTTGGTTGCAAACCCCATTCCATATGCCATTGCAGATTCCACACCTAGGAATCTGGCAACTAGCTTTTCCAGCTCCTCATGTTTGTCCAAGTTTCCTGCACATAAAACAAATGAGAAATTCAGAGTGAGGAGAAGCTTTAGCTACTGCTATACTCAATAACAAATTTCCACCTACCAGGCTGCTCTTTATTTAAAGGCCCATAAAGGAACACTGAAAAAAAAAAAACCAAACCCATAACTGAGCTAACTGCTGTGCCATGTAAACTAAACCCAGCAAGTCAATTTGTCTTCACTAAAGTAAAAGCTTCTTTATTGATTAGTCTGAAGTTCAAAAGCTGGAACAAGTAATGTTTAAAAGACCTCTGAGCAGATTACAGACTTTGGAATATATGTTCAGGGAACATCCTATCTTGCTCCAACTTACCCATCTCCTGCCTAGTGCTGCACACCCCAGCTCCATACTGGGACAGAACTTTAGCTGCTGCTTCTTGGCAAGTCCCAGCATTCTGTGCAAATCCAAGGTAGTTGTAGGAACCCATATTAATAATGTCCTTTATCACTCTCCCTGTGTACCTGTGTTTTAAAACCACCACAAGTTAGGACACTCACAATTAAAAAAATGAACCACACCAGAATATTCTTTTTTCAGTTTCCTAGGATATACACTGAGATATTAAAAAGCAATAGAACCAACCATTAAATTATTTCAGTACTGCCTTTCATCATAAAACTGAAGCAGCCAGTGAAAAAGATGCTTTCCCTATCTTACTGTCTCAAACTACTTCCCAGAAGAGTTTACATTAAAAGATTAATTTGCTATCACATCTAGAATTGCTTGAGGCTTCTCAAACCATTTGTTGTTTCTCTGACATGTCCCCCCTCCATCCCAGAAACATACAACTTCCTTTTCACTTACAAAATAAGATCAATTAACTTGGTAGCCCCTCAAGCAGGATATCCTCTAACCACAGAAAGGAAACACATCTGGCACTGCTGTGCTAACAATATGTGACAAGGAGATTATGAAGAAGTTTTGAGGAAAAAAAGTTCTAATTATCTTGCCCTTGAAAGCTAAAGACAGACATGACTCATTTTACCAAGTACTGTACTGCAAACCTTTTCACATGACACTTGTGATATGTCACTTCCGTATCATATACAAACAGATATTTGTAAAAATCCTTGGCCTTGCATTTCTGATTTTGCTTCTACAGACTGCTTCAGTTCTGACTCAAAACAATTGTGTTAAACTCAGTTTCAGGCAACAACATTTACTTCAAGTGTCAAGACTGTTCTAAATGAACACAAAGTCAGAAGAAGCAGTGCAATCCAAAATATCTACTCCAGGTTCTGGTCATCACACACAAAAGTATTAATTTTATTATAGGTGCATGTCCATGAAATCAGAACACAGTCAGGAGCCTTAGTAAGCACCCAAAAGATTATACACAAATCATCACCTTAGTAACCAGATGTGTTTCAAAAGAGCAAAATTCATCAACTCAAGCTGCTGGAAAGCTCAAAACAAACACGTTTCACAGCTCCACTGGTTCTTACAGACCCTCTACTTAAAGATAGTTGTTGGAAGCCTTGTCTTCAATTTTGACTCACTTGAACGTCCAGTTATAGTCATGGGAAACTCTCTCCATCATGTCAACTTTGGCCCCTGGCACACTGCAGATTGGACGGTTCCAGCTATCCCGAATGCGCATGTAGAGGTTTCTGGTGTAGAAATTTTCGAAATCCTGGTACAATGGGACAAAGTCCTGAAACACATCAAAAGCACTCAAAGTAAAAGGTAAATATATATTATAGCAAACTAGGAATAAGAGGAATAAATTGCTTCTGTAAGTTGGATGTAATTTATAAATGGAAAAAAAAAAATCAAGAAAACTCAACAAAACTTTAAGAGTTCTTAATCACAAGGCCTGAAACCAATTCCACGCCAAGTGTTTTTAATAATGGAAATCTGTTCCAGTCCAAAATTAATTGAAGGAAAGAAAGCAGCAAAACTGAAGAGATTAATCTGCTAGATTTGACTTCCAAACTTTTTCAACTTGCAAATCTACCGTGCCCCCAACATTTCCTCAACAGTAGATGCTTATTTGTATTTAACTTAAGTAGCTCATAGAACCTAAAAGCCATCAACCACAACTAGGAAAAAAAATTAAAAAAAAAAAATCACAGCATTAGGTCATGCTTCAACTTAGAAAGCCTCAAGGAATTCTAATGTATAGGAGAGGGAGTGCTGAAAGAACACAGAAACTGAATTGGGAGCTCCTAATGACATAGTGAGCTCTTGTTCTCCGAACTCAAACGGGACACGAAATATTTTGTCTCACTTTCTAACTCTTGCTGGGTAGCTGAGGAGACCATCTCTCTCGAAACATACAATAACACCCTTCCTGAAATGCATGGGCATATCATCTTTGACAGAGAATCGTATTCAACCTTCAGAGTTAAGCAGAGCAAGGGAACATGCAATTGCTTTTTGGCACCAAAGAGTATGCATTGCTCTACTGAATACATTCTCTATGAGAATTTGAAAACTGAGGCACTCTGACATATTTTATTCTGTATATAAGAAATGCATTTAATATAGCAGCACTAGCATTATTATAGAGGTTACTGTTGGAACTTTTGACCATTTTTGTTCTGAATCCAAGCTAGTAGCTACATTATGGCAGCTCTCTTCTGCACAGCTTATCGGCATGTGGCCCCCACAGGATTTTTTTGCATGAGCATTTCCTGAATTCGAGCTTCCTTTACAACATTTTTCAGGAAAAGTAAGTGACTGTCTTGAATGGATAAGACACAAGAATGTTGAACTAACTGTGACAGCAAGGACATCTGAGCACTCAAGAACACTTTTTTTCTGGCCCACTTAAAATGGTCCAAAGTCATGAGATTTCCTTATTACTATTCAATTAAAAGGAAGTTTGACATTCAGTAGTGATAAGAACATAATTCATTTACTGCCGTTGAAAAAAAAAATAGCCTTTTTAATAATCTGCAAAAGGAAAAAGTAGAATTTATGACAAAGGTAAAAGCCAGCACAGCACTTCTTCCTGTTTTTCACAAGAGAAATGCAAACATGGTGAGGGGCATTTTATTTTTGGTGACAGGATAAGCAAGAAAGAATATCTTTCTGACCAAATATTACAGTGCCTGACATTTGTACCACTGAAGCAAAACTGGGAGCACTTATACCAGCTTTTTAATAACAATTCAAACAAATGGGCACTAACAAGCATTTACTTACAATGCTCGACTGCAGGAAGACTACTTTTTTCTTTACCTTCCTATTTTAATGATTTAACAACTTGGTCCTTTCAGTTTGGAGTAAAGGAACCATCTAGGTCCATGCCTTTGCATCCAGAAGCTCCTACCAGAAGCTGCACAGGAAAGACAGAGCCCAAAAGTGCCAACTTCTAAGCAGACATAGTTGCACTAAGCCCCCTTCTGATTTGCCTGTGCATAATGACATGCCAAAAAGGTACAAAGATACTAATTGTTATAATTTCAGCTATGGGAAAACAAACCAACTTTAGACAGTGATCGTTCCTCCAGGGAATCACAACTATGTCCTTCCTCAGCCAAGACAGACAGTGGGAACAGGATCTCTATGGGCTAAGATGCACAGAAGGGAAATTATTTCTTCCGTGTTCCTCTACTTAAGCCTAGCTTATTTCACATGCCAGGTCTTCTCTGAAGGCCCTCTGTCAAGGGAGGTTAACAGAGGCAGTAGGTCAGCTAATACAAAGCTGTAATCCCCTAGAAAATCATTAGTCTTCTGAAGTAGCTACACAGCTCTACCCTTCCTGGACTTCAGCATCTCATGTTGTTCCAGGCAGAAAGTGCATTTCAAGGTTGAATCACTAACAAACTGACCACTTTACAATGGAGGAAAACATCTTGGTATTGACACATGCATTTGAGATCTTGCTTCATATATGAAAAGTTAAATAGCTACTGTAGCCTATTAGAAAGTGTTGATACGCATGAGAGTACTTGTAGCAACATACTAAGATGATCTTGGTTTATGACACAAAATAGAAATCATTATCTACAAGTGTCTGAAACCCTCTGCTACATCATTTGTAGTCGGGCAGGGGAAGTGAAAAGATCAAAAAGAAACTCTGGCATATTAGAAGATGAATACTTGAGGGACTTGTACTTTTTACGTCTAATGGTAATCTACTGAGATCCTTTTAAGCACTTTCAACTCCTCTTAATCATCTATGCATGAGAATTCAGCTTTGCAGTAGTTACTCACCGACACTAACTATGTGACCCAGGAAACAACTGAGATTTTAGCCAAGGTTCTTGGCTAGGAGTGGAGTCTGGAAATGAGTCATTATACCACCTCAAGCAGGTATGCTTGGGCTGATGAAGTCCATCCTCATCTCATATTACTGATCACATAGAGCATGTTTTATTTTGAAACCCAGGCTGACAAAGCAGGAAGAGTAACAAGCTCAAGTGGTGACATAAAGACAATCACCCACAGCAGGCTGACACCACCAAGAGATACAACGCAAGTATGATCTTACAAGCCAAGGGTATAGCTAAGTTTAAAGTGATTTAACTGTGAAGTACAGACATTCTCTGATCCTAATGGATTACAATAAGGAAAAAAGGTGTCTTAAAAGTCAACAAGAATTCAAGCAACAAACTATGGGTAAGGGAATTAAGGTCTAATACGGGACACTAGCCTTAGACTTCAGAGGTTCCAAGCTGTAAGATTATAGCAAAGAGCTCTAAGTGAGGCACCAGCTTCATGCCACCTCTTTGTTGTCTGTCCCCTCCCAGAATAAACCACCCTCAGCTAGCTCTTATTTCAAGTAACTTTGTCATAGAACAGGCAGGAAGTGTTATTTTGTCAGAAATTAAAACAGGAGCATCTATTTCTTCAGTAATCCTAATGCCACCAGAGGCTTCTCATGATCCATGCATCTATGAACACAAAAACCAGAAATGGTAGGGATAAAAAAGGGAAATGGTAGGGTGCCTTTATAAACTGGTACTGACTTTTGGAGCTGGCATACAGGACGAGATGGTTTGATGGCTGGTATATTTTTCAGTTGTTTCCCCCACTCCGCTATCTTTGTACTGTGTGGCATTTCAGATGGAGAACAGAGAGGACCGTACACCAAAAAAGACCACTTGAATTCCTCATGGCAATTAAACATTTTCAATCTTTGAACCAAGAAAAAAATTTAAGCCTAGAAAACACCCCCTATTAATAAGGTTACACCTGACAAAGAAACATAAGTTCTAGTGGTCTCCCAGAAGCCCAGAAGGCATAGCAACTTCAAGAAGGAGGGAAACAAGGGAAGAATGTGTATAAGCTAAAAGAAGGTAAATTTAGACTAGACATTAGGAAGAAATTTTTCACTCAGAGGGTGGTGAGGCACTGGAACAGGTTGCCCAGAGAAGCTGTGGATGCCCCATCCCTGGAGGTGTTCAAGGCCAGGCTGGATGAGGCTTTGAGCAACCTGGTCTAGTGGAAGGTGTCCCTGCCCATGGCAGGGGGGTTGGAAATAGATGATCTTTAAGGTCCTTTCCAGCCCAGGCCATTCTATGATTCTAAGAATAAATTTCTCCCCTGGGGAGCAGCACCTTAGCATAGGTGATTTGGGAATCCAAGATTTCATCATATTTTAAATTAATATTGAAGGTCATAATAAGAGCTTTGTAACCATTAGCTTGAGGCACAGTAACATGCCAACGCAGTGATTAGGACACTTTTAGAGCCAAGTTTTCACAGTGTTGCACCTAAGCTAACAAATGGTGCCATGAGCACAAGCTGGGCTTATCTGCAATTCACACAATGCAGTCCCTGATAATACAAAACTGACTCTGAAGGGAAATCAAGTAGACAATTGCAACAAATTTGAGGCTTCTAAAAGGAAGCAGTAAGACTAGTTCCATCTCACTGCTATGTGAGTCAAGAAAAAGCAGAGCAATAACTGTGGGTAGCCTTTATACCACCAGGAGGCCTCAGATGCCAAAAAAAAGTTGAGCAAAAGACTCCAGTTCACTGCTCCTGAGATACTCCTACAGCTGGATTCCTGTGAACAACTGTTTGAAAACCCCAGATACTAGAAACATGTTCTAACTGGGCAAGCTACTGAGCTCAAAGAGGTATGTTAAAGAGCTACCAACCAAATTTGGGCAGTTGGTCCCATATACAAAAACATACAAGGTAATCAACAGGCAAATTGGACCAGAAGAAGGATAAAAGTGGTTTTAATCCTGCCTATAAAATCCTACAAGCATTTTGCAGATTTAACTATACTTTATGACCAGACATTACATTACATTGTGTATGCACAAACTTATTCCAGGGTAACTGAGAACTGTTAATCTTGCCACTTTCCCATGCCTAAAACAGACTGATAGTGCTTCAGAGAAGACGTGCTACACAACACTGGTTTCCAGGAAAAGCCCAGTTGGATATATTTTAAACAAAGCCAAAACCCATCAGTCTGTTTCCTGGAAATCGGTACTAGCAAAGCTTGTCCCTTTTCACCCTTTTGTGTTCCAACAAGTGAGTGAATATTAGGTTTTCCTGGGATCATTAATTTCAGTGCAAGGCTCTAATAAATTCTAAGGAATTTACCCACTGTCAGAGAGAGTCCCAATACAGACCTGTTGTTAGAAAGCCTACTCTGCAAATTAGTTCGGTCACTTTCAGTTTCTTGTTCTGATGCACAGACTGAGATTGCAACATTAAGTGACAATTTAAGGAAGGATTTGCTCTACTGAAATAAACTGACCCCCAAAACACACAAAAACTCAAAGCAGGATTTTTTTTGTGTTTGTTTTTAATACTGCATTTTGGACCTAAGTTTATGTTATGCTTTTGACTGTGATCACCTTCAGAAACACTCTACGGAAAGACTTAAATTCACGACTTCCAGGACAAGTTAATTCATCTCCATATGAAATACTTCCTTGCACTCCGTAATTTTGTTTTGCTCACAAAGCAGATTGTCACACACTGTTCAGTTACACAGCTACTCTCACTGCCTCTGCTTTGAGGTTTTCACCTAAGCAATTTATGAACTATTTCAAGACCTAAAGTGAACCCTTTTGCTTGATATTTAAGAAAATAATAATCTAGCTGGCTCTTCAGAATAATAAAAATATTACTTTCTACATAGAGGTCACAAATCTGCCAGTGACTACCCCAGGGCAACCGCAGGGCTCCTCTGATTTGCATGTATTAATAAAAAAAAGTTATTTTCGAGCCTTTTCTGCGTAATGGTACCTGCATTTCCTACTAAAAGATGATTGGGCTGTCAGCCAGCAGCTTAAGAGATTCAAGTATTTGAAACTCATGAAAAACTGTTTCAAAACAAGTCATTGAGCACCCCCCTGCACCAAACTAAAACCTGGCTCCCACACTAGATATGCTGCAACATGGTCTCACCAATTCATTTGCAGGCAAACAAAGCTTAAAGCACCAAAGTGTGAGGAAAAGTACTGTATGTTCTAGACCTCACATGATCACTTTTCTATTTGTCTGATACCGGAAACAGCTATTCCAACCTTAACACTAGAAAGGTCATTTGGGGAAATATACTAGGCTGAGATTGCAACACCAAAACTTTTTAAAACAGGATTTCCTATTTTTCATTCTTACACAGTATTCACTGGCTTACTCATGACATGCCACAGCAAACAGATCCTTCACATAAATAGCATTTCTTACTACATCCATCCACAGAAGTCCTACGTACAAGACAAAAACAGAACACATGCACCTCTTCCCTGCAAGTCATGTCCAACACACAAACTCAAAGAGTTTCAGTTCATCTGAGTGGGAGGCATGCTTGTTAAGCAAATAAATGTTTTTCAGGGGAAGATGCAATGCTAAAATTAATTTACAAAAAATTTCAAGGCTAAATTCCTTTTAGAACTAGGATAATCAGTTGCTAGCAAACTCTGTGCCTGAACATCCTCTGTGACAGTCTTTACAGAGAGCCTAATATCAATAATATATTCCAAAATCCGACCTACTGCCCAAGGTCCTCCTTCTGTAGACTCCCACAAAAGAGCCATGACTGCTCCCACAGAAAAGGGACTGCTATAAGCAGTCTTGGCACCTTGCACCCTGGTAACAGAACAAGAATTTCACAGAACCTGTGAAACAGCATAACTACAGTATAAAGTAACTGCAACAGTACCTCAGTTACCCCTTTACAAGCCTCAAGTACCATGAGTACAGACCAATAGTTAAACCTTTATTCTAATGTCTTAGTAGATTTCTGCAACTGTTTGACTGTTCTTGTCTGTATCAGCTTATAGTTTATATACAGAAAAATACAAACGTGTCATATACTCAGGTGACATAAACCAGAGTAGCTCAAATGGTATCAATGAACACATTGAGTTAACAAGTTAAGATTTAGCCAGCAATCCTTATTCGGATGTTGTAACTGTTAAAAAGGATCCAAGATTTTGATTCCAGATTCCAGAAGGCATTTTGGAAACAGCGTAAATTTAAACTCCTGCACTTTTAACCAATATAAAAGACCTATTCTTAATTGAACTCCTATGAGAAGGTTTCTGCTTTGGAATTAGGTGCCTCACTATGAATCAGCTTAACTCTGCCTCACGATGCTCACATAAAGAAGCTACTGGGAAATAATTTTAGGCACTGGTTAGTTTACTGCATCTTAGCTAATCAACTACAATATGACATGCACTTTACTCCAGTGCTGCCTTGAAAAAAGCCTCCGAAGAAGCCTTCCTTCCCCCACCCCCGGTTATCTGTTTGCATCAGTGAGATGCTCCCCTTCTGCCCCCCCCCCATTTTCTGCTAGCCAACGGCTTGCGTGGCTGGACAGAGAACCAGAAACCAGGAACTGGAAAACAAACTCCCTTAACATTTTATAAGTCAGATCAGTTCCACAAAGCAGCTGAGATAAACAGAACCCTTATCAGTAAGAGTAAGCCAATTCACTCCACTTTCAGAGCAAAGCTCATGGGTATTCACAGTGCTAAAAGGGCTCACACTAAGAGTTAGCAGGGAACAGCTTGCGAACTGCAAATTTAAATGGTAGCTGTCTTAACAGTAACTAATTCCTGTGGGGAATAAAGGCCTCAAAATCTTTTACAACTACTCAAAATCAGTATTATCTATTCCAGACTAACTGCTGGAGTAGGCAAGACTTTTCATGTGGTAACAGAACCTTTCATGAATAGGTCTTATTCTTATTATGAAATAATTATTTTAAATTGCTCTCAGTGAGTCAGGAGTCAGTATTTCAGATTACTCACCAGACAACCTGCTAGTGTTCTGGACTCCGTATGAATTTCAAATCATACAGCTTGTACTCTGGTTCTCATCCACATGCTTTTCTTTGCAACTACTTAGGCTAAAGAGTTAAATAATAGTATGCTCTAAAGAGAATTAATAGCATACTTTCAAATCAAAACACAGCCACCAGAAAGCCTCCCGCTGCTGTCAAACTAACCAGATCCTTCGGTAAAGATTTCTTTAGCTGTTGATGATGCTGGCATATGCAGTTTCTCTCCCCAAACCCTTGTTTCTGCAGCCGGGGCATCTCTCAGCATGTTGATGTAACTGTTGATGCAGCTTTGCAGTGAACCAGATCAGGGAACTGCTCCACCAAAAAAGAGCTCAACTAAAAGAAACATTTTGTTGCAGTACTAGCATCTGGGGCATTCAGAAGGCAAGGAAAACAGCAAAAACCTAAACAACACTGCTGACCAAAGAAATGCTCAAACTGTACCCTCAGCCACATAAGTTCCCACTGACCATTATTTCCCAGTGGTTACCTTTTGTTCTTCTCTTTCTGTTGCATTTTGACACTTCTCAATCTTCCATTGCCGCATGAAATCTCGCAGATATCCAAAGAGAGTGAGGACACCATAGCCTACGTAGGTCAGCACAGCAACCAGCATTGGTGTTTCTTCAAAAGCTTCATTGAAAGGCCTTTTGTATAATCCTCCATTGTGCACAATATGATTTATCTATAGAAAAAAATTAAAGAAAGGCAGCTGTGAGAGATTCATTTAGGAAATGTCAGATAGGAATTTCAGAGCAGTCCCTGGCTCTGCGATCAGTTACAAGCTCTGCATCCCCCTTGCCCAGTTCGAAGTACCTCCAGCTAGGTTCAGCCATTACTGACAAATCCTGTCAGTCTCCATATACAGGGATGCCAAGTTGTTGATATATAACCAAGCCCATAGTTACCAATTTAGGGCAGTTTAATCCAAAATCTCATTAAAGCACTTAGGTTGCAAAACTATGTAGAGATCATTGCTTACATCCAGGCCAACCAAAATGAAAAAACTGCCTTCCTCCTTCACCAAGAACTAGGTAGGCACAAATACGATAATAGTGAGGCTTCTGAGGCTCACTACAGGGAAAAACAAAATAGCAATGAATAGTTTTAAGATAAACAATGTATTCTCAAGATTATGAGAGCTGAAAAAGTAACTGCAAGTATCAAAACGGACTTGAGTTTGGAAGCCTATATTACTGTAACAAAATAATCATAACCTATGTGTCTCTGTAGCCGTTAGCCTAAACATGCTGACGTAAACACTGTACTCAGCCATGAGGCGGACATGACACCACAGACAAAAAAGTCATTGTCACAGTCTCAACATCGCATACATGTCAGCACACAGAACAAAGCAAGGCTTTCTGCACAAAATCCACACTAAAAGTCATCTTGTACTTACAATACCATCTCCTGAAAATAAGAGCTTAACAAGTTGTATAATACACGTGCATGTCCATCTCAAGTACGATTACTGTAATACATAGTATTTGTGACTATTACAGAAAACCTTCACAGCTACAAGGCAAAGGCTCATTCAGCACTGGGGGGAAAAACACCATGGTTTTAATTATTTTAACAAGTAGTCTAGTTAAATTAAAGATCAGATCTCAAAAGTCAATGTATCAAAACAAAGAAACACAGACATCAGATGCAAATTGCTATCTGTATTCCTGTAAATTACAGAACAGCTACCCTACTAAAGATTACCTATTAGGTAATCTAAACAGGTTAAGATTAGCATACAATTCTGTAACTCTCTAGTATCCAAATATGTTGAGGGATGCTGCCAGATGTACATGACAGCAGCCAGAAGATAAGAAGGAAACCAAGATAATACATTTCGATAAACGCCTATATTAATAATAAAACCACACTAAAAAGAGGGTTAGGACAAGCATGTATCTAGGATGCTGCTCAAATTTCTCTGGACTTTATTCAAAGTGCAGCTTAACAGCCAGATAGGATAAGAAATAAATTTAAAAAATATTCTATTCAAAGTAACATCAACACCTAGGAAAGAGGTTGATCCTAAATATCCCAGAAAAGGACAACAAAGAATTAATGAAGGGTGGGGGCCAGCAGACAGAACAAAATCACTTTTTCTCCTGTGGCATCCATACTATCATATGGGAAAGGAAGCCAGAGTCGCTGCAACCTCTGTAACAGCTGATGAATCAATAAAAGCACACATACTTACTGGTGTCACCAGACACTGCATTATTTGGAAACTGATACCTGCTCATCTCAAGATGCTGGAGCAAGTCTGTATTTCAAGCCTGGTGTTAATAACTTCAAAGTAATTTTTCATAAGCAAAGGTTTGCTTTTAAGATACAATTATGCTATAGCTATGCAGTCACTGAGTATAAACTGCACCCCAGACCTTCCTCCTGATACTTATTTATGCCTCTTTCCTTTTGCCAACAGAGACATCCAGATAGCTGCAGAGCAAACCAAAGTTTCAACCAGAGTAAGTCCTTGATTTTGTCACCATAGTTGTGGAGACGCTAAATTGGTGCAAGTGTGGAAACAAAACAGCGAAGACACAGTAGGAACTTCTCTTTTAGCACCAGCACTTACCCCAGATGCAGATAACCAGCTTGCAGTGCTCTGAGGCCAGGTTTAATACTGAAGTAGTTTTAAAAACATACTGCCTACAGTGGTGGCTTAGGTTAGAAAGTTACCATGCTTTAGAACAGGTGTAGGAACACTTGCTTACCACGCTCCAGCTCAGATGATGGCAATTTAAAGCTTTAACATAGGCCATAGGTTCATACACTGTTTCCTTCAAGAACGGTGCCAGCCAAAGGAACTGCCCCTGCCCTACTCACTCACCCTCTGGCTTGCACAACTAAGGATAATCTGATTTTCAGCATAGTGTCCCTCCAACATTGACCTGATCCAAGTTGGAAATACAATGATTTGATGATGGTTATTTATTTATCAGACCCTAATAGTCTTTACAGCACCACTCCACAAACTCATTCAACAATCTCAGCAACCAAGAACCAGCAGCTGCTGGGGAGAGGAGGGGAAGCAGCACCATGACAATCAAACTCCATAAGCCAACACTGCAAAGGAAAATCATTTAAGCTTTCCTTGCCCCATCACTTTTGAGATTGCTTTACTGTATCGCTATGGCTTTACTTCATGAAAGTATAGAATTGTATTGCATCTAGATCTGAGAAAGATCATGCACCAAAGCTCCAATTACTACAATTTCACAGCTTAATGAGTTAAAGTTGAATTTTGTGTCTTCACACTGACAGATCAGGCTGGGAACAGCAGCTATTCAGAAGCAGGCACACAACATACGTGCTAACTGTGGCTGTCTACTAGTAGTTGATTTCTGGATAAGCAGACAATGGGTAGCGACTGCTTCTCAAATCACCTAGAGTCTAATAGAGATCACATCAAAGCTTTCAATGTCTTTCCCAAGTAACTGGAAGTTCATCTGGAAGAGATGAAAGCCTACATACTAAGGGTATGTATCTGAGGTTAACTAACACCAAAAAATAGCAGCTGAAAAACAGCCAAACCCCAAAGACAAACCTATATATAATTTTAATCAGCAAAAGCAATACCAATTTTTTCTAGGTCTTTAGAGGTGCCTCTGCTTGTGATAAATGCTAAAACTAAACAAGTTATTCCACATAGTCAAAACCAACATTTAACAGAGAAAGGCCCTTTTGGGAAAACCTGTATTGATTCAACACATACTCCAATCATTTCACCTCCCAGTGCTCTTCTACCAATGTGCTTATACATACTTATACTCTTATGTCAGGTACTACATAAGCTGAGAAGCTTCTATGCTATCCTCTCTAAATTAAACGTTAAGGAAATATTTTCAATGTAATTCCACGGACTTTTCATGAAGCACACGATGACTATAAATACAGTCTAGAATTGCCTATAGAAGAGACAGTTGTAAATGCATTTTAGATACAAGGTTATTCATTGTCCAAGAACGCCTTATAAATCCACACACTGGCCTTCAAACGAAGGCTTACATGCTCCTAGCATCAAGCTTGCAGCCAAGAGCAGCAAGTTCAGTTTCAGAGACCAAGAGAGAAGGTAGCTACAGTTTAATGATTCATCTCCCTTTCCGGGGTGGGGGGGGAAAGCATGCAATATTAAGACTTTTATGGTTTCAACAAGTCTTATGACAACAAAGTGAGCCATGACCTTCGAACCAGAATATATTACACATTAAGTGTGTGGTTCAAAAAAGCAGGTGCATGCTCACCTACATCTCTCTCTCCTGTACGGCACAGACTGCATGCACACAGAAGAGCACCACTACATTAAGAAACGCAACTGCAGAGAAAAATCAGAGCACCAGCCACTGGTTACAGAAGACAGCGAAGAGATGGCATTCTGAATCAGCCGTGGGTAACGCCCACATTGGGCCAAGCTCTTTCGGAAACAGATCACATAAACCAGTATTGTAACAGTTACTGTGCAGCAGCATCACACAGCTACAGCCACAAAGGATCACACTGGTCTAAGCAGAACACATCAGGGAATCTGATCAGAATCATCTCCCCAGTCTGGTAACAAACAGTTCAAATTCACAGGACGTTACAAAACTGACTTCAGATTTAGATCATCCTGCACATTACAATCATAAATAGGGTGAGAGCATCTCTGGCACCATCAGAGGAGGGGATTGTGGATGTACACATGTGGAGCGTAACCACACCTCACCCGATGTTCTTACCCAACTACTGCACAAAGTTATGCTTTAAAGAACATGTTAGCCTCCAGACAGCATCAGATTTTGCAGTGCCTGAAGGTCAGGTACCATCAGAACGAGATTCCAGCTCTACAGACAGAAAAGGTATTTCTGCCTATCCCGAGTTATTATAATTCTTTCATGACATATATGTAAAACATCTCCCATGTAATACCCTTACACTCCCACCTTTCGCAGTTACCTTAGCATGATTACAGATCACCTGCTATTAGGGACAGTATACTGTAACCTAAAAAAAAAATAATTCTCCTTTAAGCCACTCCACCAACCATAGATTGATTACAACCTCCAATATCCTACTAGATAGGATAATGCTCCTTTAGCAGAGCATTAAAAAATGCAATTCATAAACAACAGTTAGCAGTAAACATGCTTTTACTAGCACCATTCACCATTTTACCTTTTCTAAATTTGGACGCTAGGATCTTCAGAGAAGGGCCACCATACCTCACCCTATCATGGATTTACAAAGAATGTAAAATGAAACCAGCAAACAGGAACAGATTTTAGTGTTAATTACTGCCAGCACCCAAAACAGGTCACATATGAAACTGGTATTATTTTTAACCTGACTTTCTTTTACTTCAAAACTTATTTCTCAAAAGCAACAGGGAAAAGGTTGTTAGCATATTTGCTATACATGTGTTAGCAGCCAACTCAGATAAAGACTCATCCTAAACCAAGTCAGCATGGTAGAAATTGGCAGATGCAAAGGAGCACCCAAGAAGCCAAACACTCCAACCAAAGGGTACAACAACACACTTAATTTTCAAAAGCATTAGAGAAGTTTTGTGAGAAGACAAAAGCCATGCTTAAACATAGGAACATTTGCAGACACTACCGTAGACAACAGAAACAGGATTTATCACAGGAATCTTTTATATCAAGCTGCTTATTGAAAACATCTGCCAAGGTACATAA